ATTTGATTTGCAGATAATGCTGGAATTAATACCTATCATTCGGTTGTATTTCCCAAAGTGGAAGCACCACCTAAAGAGGAAGATTCATTTGAAGCTTTGCTGCAGAAAGTAAAAGCGAAAATGAACGCAAATAAAGCAAATTCAGCAACTAAAGCCTGACGTCAGCCATGGAAAACAAGCGCTACATATTGTCTTTCACTGCTGAATTTCACATTTTAGTCGCATCAACCTTTTTATATTTACATTCATACTTAGCTTATCGTATGCATTAATAATTCCAAATTGAACCAATGTTATATCAAAATATCATTACTTCATTTTCTACAAAAATGTGTTTGTAATTAAGTTTGTATATATTTCTTCTTATGAATTGCTTAATGCATACTTATACGTCATTATCATTATCATTGCTTCAATAATGCAATACAGCTAAGTACTGCTGATTACTTCTCGCCACAATGACATTAGAAGGAGATTGAACGCGCATGATATGCATTATTGGACTGAAAGTAAATATTTATGTATGCTAATTTCAAAAACAAACCAACTTGAAGGATGTGCTTTTTATGTCTCAATGTATATTGTTAACTAAAATGGAATGTGATAATGGAAGCCACAGTCATTGAAAATAACTTGAACTGCTTAAAATCAAAACAAAGGAAATACCCGCATAAGTTACTTGCTTAAATATATATGTTTGTTTGAATAGAGATAACTTAATGAATTTAACAGATATAGAGAAGACCATGATGGTATGTATTAATTGTGAATTTTTCACATTTAACTAACAACAATTTTTGTAAATTTTGTACATTTGTAAACAAGTATAAAATATAAATAAATAACATTAAAAATACAATGCTACAAAGGAGTCTTGTTCAAACTATTTACAAACGTACAAATGTAAAAAAGGAAATGGACGACGAATTAAACTGTTGATATACATTTTTATATGTAAATATAACCCTGATATTAGTTGTAATAGAACACACTTTTTAAATTTCTTAAACTCAATTTCTACCTACCTGCTTGTATTTTAGTTAAGTTAAGAAGATACGCATAATTTGTTAGTCAAATAATTTTGGAAGTGAATGTTGATGCATAGTTTGCCTTCGAATAGGCTCCAATAAACAATACATAAATATGAATAAACTAAAAAATAATTGGCTTTCTAAAGAACAAGAATCTTGTTGCTTACAGAAATAAATACTTTCAATGTTATGATTATTAAGTGATATATTTTTAAAAATAAAAAATCAGAAAAGTACTTGTTAAATTGCTGAGAGAGTATCCGCTAACTATGTTCGTGGTATGCCAAAAGTAAACCTACTTAATTGTTATGCAGATTTTATATTCTTCCTTTTAATAAGCTACAATTGAAAGACTAGCAAGCCATCAAAATGAATATGTTAAACACAAAAATGTGTGGCTATTTCAGATAACTGAATGCTACATAGTACATACATACATATTTATTTATATTACCCCTTTAGTTACGTTTTTTTTTAATAACAACTTCTTAAATTTAAGTTTATGCGTTTGCTTTATATAGAGTTTGTGTTAAATAAACTGAAAAGGATTATCTAAAAACCAACCGAAAATTACGCATTTTTCTTTTCTCACAATATACCCTGTATGAGTCACTTCTAAATTCACGATGTAGAGAACAACGAGACGAGCAGTATGTTCACGATTGTTATAATGCGAAGTATGCATTTTTACGTGAGGTGTTGCTCGACTTGAGTTGCTCACGACTATTACGATTCGAGCCCAGGTCCAGGACACCTGCTATTTCGATGGGATCTGACCAAAGGGAGTGGGATGTTAGCTAAGTAGTTTTAAATGTGCAAGTGAAGAGGTGGTTGGCAATCTCCATAAGCCTAACACATATGTGTATGCATTTTGGGTATGTCGGAGACAGGTCTGGATAAGTAAAAGTTCAGTCCACTGCAGTATCTAGACCCATCTGGGACTTACTTCTCATCACTGATGTTAATTCTGACTTTGAAGTTTAATAGTAAATTCTTCTGTCAAACGGTATAAGAGGTCAGCGTTAATATCACCGATGACAGGTAAGTCTTAGGAGGATTTTTATATCAGACTCTCATTTTTGTGAAAAGTGCAGATAGAGGGTATTGAATATAAGCCCTCGAAATGACGGTAAGATGTGATTCCAAAAACCATAAAAACCATTAAAAGGAACCTAGAAACGTAAAAAAAAAATAATTCCAAAAACAATCGGAAGTGCACAGAAAATTAACCATAGAGACGCCAAGTTCATCAGGTAACACAGGTAAAACAATACGAAAGAAAATTACGTGATACGTCAGTCGTATCAGTTGAATGGGATAAAGCGTGCGTATGTCATAATCCGAAAAATGTGTTTTTACATGACGAGTAATACGATATCGTATGTGACGATTCGGGTCCTTATTTCGGCACTTTGAAGTGACTTTTTAGATACCCTGCACGCTTATAAGAAAACTTATTGTTTATAGCCCCAAAAAA